ATAGAACTATAAGGGGAAATCACTAAAAATAATTTTCTCATAAACAGCAAAGCCATGACTAGTCATATTATATGAAAGCATTTTAAGATAGTGTAGATTTAAATTTGTTCAAATCATAACCCCCAGGAATAAGGTGGGGCCACAATGGGCGATCAAATGTTTACATAGAGTATAAAGGAAACACCTTTAAAAGTTTTTCTCAAGAAACAGCGAAGCCCTGGTCAGTCATATTTAAATAGAATCATCCTCAGGTAGTGTAATATGGGAAAAAATCTGCTGGTGAAAAAATAGCAGGGCCATAGTGGTTCAGGTAATCATTGTGGCCCATTGGCCTCTTGTATGAGAGTTATATGGTTGTTTTTCAAGATGATACGTTATTAAAATGATAGTGAAGGTGGAGGTATACCTTGTGGAAGTGTTCTTTGATAGCGATGTCTGAAACTCGCCAGTGCTGTAATCATCTTTTCGAATAACAAATATCTAGGTTTTCACGACGAATTATGTGGCTTGAAGTAGGGCCTTCTAATAATGATCCAGAGATAGTGGCCTGCAATTTTGTCCAAACTGTAGCGACTTTGAGAGGTATCAAATAATATTACAAACTTTCTATTCAGTTTCTGTACTTGCAATCATGCATATATTCTGTATGAAAATTCATTATTATATAACATGTATAATAGGATGCCCAAGAATACTACAAAGTGACCCGGGAACAGAAAACATAACCATGGGTGCTCTTCAGTGTTTGTATCGAAATCCAGAACAAGATCAGTCCACGGCAAGAGGCTGTTATCGAGTTACCAGATCAGTTTTCAATCAGGTGCGTGATTGGTCAACTATGTTGTACGTCATTGTAAAGCTTTGATCATTTCTTTATGTCCATTGTTCAGAAACAAAATTCACACAGTCTATATCACATTAAACCACTCGTCCATTTCATACCAAAAAAAAAAAAAATCAAGAAAAATTCAACCTGGATACCTATGATGTAAGCACCATGCGCACCATATGGAATTTGATGTAGTACTACAGTCTGTCGAGATAGAAGACAATCTAGAATTACTTAGACTGTGCATCCTGGTAGAATTTTATCTCCTTCGAGTGACCTGTCTTATGTACATGTGTTTATACATTTCACATCACAAGAAAGGATTTTGATGGATTTCTCCTGTGGAAATTGTCTAATATCGTGGGATATACAAAAAAAATAAGGAAAAAAAGTCTCAATAGAGCAATCCGAAGTAACTGTCAAACAGAAGTAAATCGAATATCCAAGAAATTCACGTACATTATTTTCACAGAGAATTGAGGCATGGTGGAGCATGATGCGCCGGCAAGAAATGGAATGGTTGATCTCTTTTTTTCAAGGAATTGGAGACTGATGGTTTCTTTCGTAAAGATGTGATAAATGATGTGTAAGAATTGGCAAATAATATTCTTTATGCTCATTGACTTAAACATATACGGAATAATAATGTTGAGAAGAGGTTATATAGTAAATGCTCTACATAATTATGTTTCCAGGTATTCATTGCGATTTTGCTTTATGCCAGTTCTACAAAACGTCCTGGATGCGGTAAAGGAACAATGGAACAATCACCCAATAGCATACAACAGACACTCTGCTTGTCCACATGGTCGTCCAAATGTACTTTATATACTGCCAGAGGAAAAGGGTACTACACTTAATGCTTGGAGTTCATGCATAAAATAACCTCTTCTAAAAGAGGGCTTTTCCCTGCATCAATGTGAAAAAAATGCGCATAAATTAGGTAAAAAAAAATGCTATCAAGTCAATTCCCTCGACATTCAAAATGAAAATAAAAAAAAAATGCAGTTGAAATTCTAAAACACAGTGAAAGCGGATAGGGTATGTGCTTGTTAATTTAGTATCAAACCGTCCCAATTATTTACCTTTTCAAAACTAGGTGCAGTTTAAATACATGTATGTTGATATTTACAGGATTCTCTGATTGCATTCAGCCCGTTTCTGAGGAAGATATTAACTTCAGCCAACTGCAGTGCAAGGTTCCAACTAGAAGTGGATTTTTGGAATTTGACAATTGTTCTAATGCTTTGTTTGGACGAAAAGGGTGGAGTGATGCAACTCCCTGGCAAGAAGCACTTGAGCAATATTTTGAACTGGTTGCAAATAATATGAATTAATCCTATTTTCAACTTTTTCCTGGTGTTTGTTTTTTTTTCTTTTTTTTAATTTCCGTGGGGTGCTAAATAAAAACTGATAATAATAATAAAACAGCATGCTCAATTGAGAAATTTTTTATTTATTCATATTTTGTTAGCTGTTCAAACCAGAGGCCCATAGGGCACAACCCCTCTTTGGACCCATGTTGTACAGAGAAGAAAAAAAGGATAGGAATAGGAAAATGTTAACCACCGTGTTCTTCCAAGGTGTATTGATAAAAATTCGGGAATGTCAGAATATACTCCAACACAGAGTTCTTTTCATCATGATATAGACCTAGAGAAACACAGGACTCTTTAGCAGTTCATTTCTACAATATTTTTTATACTATTGACGATTATTGTATACATGCAATTGGCATTGGAAAAAAAAATACATTGTGATAGTATATAATGTCGCTTACCATTACAATCATGAACGAACACAAAAACCTGAACTTGAATATATTTAGGAAAGTATTAAAAATTTTATTTTAAAATTTCACCACAAATAAAAAAAATAATTCGGAAATATTAAAAGAACAAATTGCAGTCATTTTGTACAGCATACAATAATTCGGAAATAAAGACCATATAGTTATACGAAAAAGATGTCACAAGAGAGATTCTTCATAGGTAAAAAGGAACTATATGTTTTAAGGATAAGGTCTTAAATTGTTTAAGCTAATTAGTTATTTTTGTACTTAAAAAAAGGGCCTGTCCCAGGGAAGTATTTTGCACCTGGCAATTTTTGTTAAGAAATACATTAATTTTTTTTTAAAGATAATTCTCTGAAAAATCTAACACAATGAACGTTCAGAACCCTGACATAGTTGAACATTAACACGTTTTCCTCATGCTTCATATTTTAGTTTTTCTTAATCCCAATCATTGCCCCTTTATAACATCTGGGTCATTGTTTCAACTTGAAAAAAATATTACAGATGAAAAACACGTTTTCGATGAGAGGTTGAAGTGAAATATATGGAGATAACGAACAGTATTCAAGCTCAAAAGTCCATTATACAATACAAAATAGGAGCAGAGCAAACACGGACCTCCAAACATCAGAGGTGGGATCAGATGATATTATGCAGAGTTTACAACCACATTGTCATTTGGGCCCTTTGGCGCAAGTTTTCGACCAAAATCTGTAATATAATTTTAAAAAAAAATCTGTTTCTCCTTTTTCGACACAGTCATTTAACAACAGAAAGATAGGTAGGATTTTTTAAAAAGATACATGCAACGTTTTATCATTAAAATTTATCATTACTATAAATCACTCATCATCACAAGGCTGACTGAATGACCTATCTAAAATAAAAATACGAAGTGTTTGTGAAACACTAATGCCCCTGTATGGTACATCAACACCATTTTTTTTTTTATGTACGTCAAACTCCAAGGTCAAGACGTTAAAATTATTGGTACGTAAAAAAGGCCTTGTCACAAGGAATACACATGTGAAACATGAAAGCCTTAACCCCAACCAAAGTTATAAATATGGGATGGTTATAGTTTTTGCGGACAGACAGACAAAAAACTATATGCCCCGAATTCTTCGATTATGGGGGCATAAAATAAAAATTCCAATGAAAAGAGGAATATAAACCTTAGCGTAGGGTCAATTTTTGTTGCTTGGTCGACAAAAGGGTAAACACGCGATATTTTAATTAAAACCAGTCTGACATGCATATGTAGGGTATGTGCAAAACACGAAGAGAGAAACGAGAAATGAAAATTGAATATAATTAAGGAATGATAAAAACCAATTACCTCAAAATGTCAACTGAGGGGACAGCTTTTGCCTTGATTTTATTTTGTTGGAAAAGAGGCTGAGTGAAATTAAAACATCGACTTATCATTGATCGGGCACTGCTGACCCATAAAGTCCTGACAGATTTAATTAGATATCTACAGCAGAAAAGTACATGTTTAACTGGTAAGAGACGGATCACCTCAAATTATCTGATTGTTACATAATCAAAGAAACAAAACGTTAAATTAAATATTTATACGTCTGTTTATCAATAAAATATAGTACGGAAAGCTATTATAACATTGACATTAAATTTCTCTTATGATATTACCAGATTTCTATATCACAAGGATTATCTTGGTGGCAGTAAAATCTGGTAATCTGCATCAATTGATTCTTTTTTGACAAAGGTATAATTAGAGTTTTAAAATAGTTTGGACTATTATATAGTATGCCAGCGGAAATACGTTCAATAAGCTTATCACTCAAGATATCAGTTGATGACAACTTTATTATTTTAAGAAAAAGGTGGGTAAGCATTTCTTTCGTGTTATAGAGTTGTATGAATTAAATCTGTCAAGATTTTACGTTTTTTCAGTGTGAGATAGTTGTGCGGGTCACTGATAAATCTGACTTAAGTAAGATGTTTTCGATTCGTGTTTTACACATGCATGATGTATGACTAGTTTAACCCAAAATGGGTGTTAAGAAATGCCAAATCGTACATTTCAAAGTTAACTTCCGAAGGAAGCAATAGTCTATTTATACATGTTGTCGCGGTTGGAAACCGCCCCTCTTCCAGTTGGAACACAATTGTTGGCTGTATAGCATATCCCAACACAGGTATTTCTCTTGTTCCTGTTACAAAAGCTAGAATGTTTTCCAGACTGACCTTGTCACCCTGTCTTCCAGCTGAAAAAAATTATACCTTTAAATTAACATTTTTACTTTAATATGATAAACAAAAAGTTACATAATTTTTAGGTGCATTGTTTATTCGGAATACCTAACAACAGCAGATAAATTCGAACTCTTCTTTTTTTCCGTCAGAGAATCACTGAACACTGCAGTACGTACCGTAGACATCTCTGACGTATTTGAGGAATTGTCTATATATTGTTTCTTCAACCCTCCTCCTATTAGTCCCTTCCTCGCTGAACTTGACGTCGAATGTTTTGATAAACTTTTGTACGGTGAGTACAATATTTTCAATCCTTCGAAAAAGGAACTTCCGGGTTCTTTTGCCCCTCATCAACTGTAAAACATTGTTTTATGTATATACTAATTTTTTTTTCTAAGGACATGTACCAGCATCATTTAAAAAGGCATAATTTGTATATTCAAAGAACGACATGTAATCAAACTACCAGGAATTAAATCAGTATTTAAAAAGCATTCAATATAATTAGTTGAATAAACATTTTTAAATAAATGTAAGCTTTGAATTGTAAATTTTTTGGACTATCATTGAATCATAACGCACACGTATTTCTAACGCGCTATTGAGCGGAATTTAAATTCCACATCGTTCACAGGTTTCAGTGATATGCATTTTTTATGGACTCATAAAAAACCCCCACAAGGATTCAACGGGAAGAAGCCAGTTGAAATGCTTTTTGACGAGAAAGACGTTTCTTACTAATACAACTATGTTTTTAAAAATATTCCTATTTCAATATGGAATTGGAATATAAATTATATCCTTGTCCGCATCCAAACAGTGATTTTTTTTTTTTTTGGCAAGGTAATCTGTTAGCGAAGCGACATGCTTGTGATTCAATCTGGAGTAGAGTCACATAAATAGATATGTCAGCAACCTACGTGGGCTAGCTCTGTTTTAAAAAAAACACATGGTACGTTTGAAATAGCTCCTCCCCGTAATATGACCCAGACTACATATTTTTTTTATTTACTGAATTTTCTCCAAACTTAACCTAGCGCCCTATCAGTGTACCATAAATCTTGGGTTGCTGAAACAATAACGAGAATGACTTGATAACTTTGTGGGGATTTTTTATGCAAGTGTGTGTATTGTTTGTTCACAACTAACACAAATTGAGAATACATTATTTAAAATATGAGAGAACATATAGTTATGGTGCTTCACTTCTATTTAAGCTTTTATAAAATGACCAAGAAATTAGCCATAGAAGTGTTTTGCTCATCTTTTTAATGAAGTAAGCAATCATTAAAATCTAATTGTAAACACTTAAACTTATTTAATTTTTGCACTTATTTTCTTCAACCCTTTTTAATAATGCCAAACAAACCCGCAAAATCCGATCGGTAACGTGTTATTTTACAGCATTATTGTGCTGTGCGATAAATTTGACAAATGATCGACGTTTATAGCCATGGGAATTTCCTAAATGTTATAAAGTTCAGCAGTTGTAAACAGCAGAATCTTAATAAATAGACGGACTTGTTTATCTTAAATATTTGGTCAATTTATCTCTTTGATGTTTCATGTCCAGATTCATTGTTGATATTTAGACCTTTTAAGCTGAGGGTTTAAGAGAGCTAATGTTAACTTGTCATCGTCTTTTCTAGAATCACTGGCCAATTCATCTGACTGGTCAAACTTCACATTAATGTAAAAAACAAAAAACAAAAAACAAAAAACAAAAAACAAAACAAAACAAAACAAAAAACAAAAAACATAGGTCTAAGCATATTACATATCTCCCCTATTGTGACCGTCTACTCGATCCAGCTAGTTATGTTATTGATACGGGAAAAGCTGAGTGTATATGCAGATGTTTTCACACTTGTATTAATGTCGCAACAAAATCAGGTCTATAGTATAATGCTTTACAACACATGGGCTTTTTGGAATTGGGTTCACTTCCTTACCATGCACATCTAAATTCCGTATTTTATTTCGGTTTTTAATCTTGTAATTTCGGTTTTTAATCTTGTAATTTCATTTTTTATTTTGTAATTTCTTTTTTTTTCATTTATTAGTTTCGTTCTTTATTTTGTAAATTTAATTATTTTATTTATTTTTTTTTTATTTTGCACTATTGGGCTTTCGGAATTAAACGATTAAAAGTGCGTTGTGAATAATTCACGGTAAAACGAGTCGTAAATAATTTAATATTATTAAAAGCGAGAAATCTCATAATTTAGAGACATTAGTAACCAGCAGGCAAACACTATAAAATCAGAGATGTACCTGAATCAGCCCTGTCTTTTCCAGTCCGCGGACGAACTGGTCTTTTTGCTCTGATTCCGGAGATTGGAGGAGCTGATCCAGAAAGTCAGCTAATGGCCCTCCTTGAATAGCACTCAGACCTGGAATTCAGATAAATAAAGAAGGAAAATAGCAATTTGCACATCTATAAGGTAAATATATAATAATGCTGTATGACCTCCTTTTTGCTTAAAAATAGATATTAAATTCTTGTTCGATCATTTTTGCTAGATTTTTTGATATATCTCGGTATTTATTTTCTGCCATTATTGTTATTTATGCCAGGGTAAAAATAGTTAACTTTTACATTAATCCGTTGAGTTATTCTAAATTTTAATTTTGACTAACCTATTGTGATTCCAGCGTAATAATAGTAATAACGCGCCAGTGCCTCCTCGTCTAAGTGCAAGGTGACTATACCATTTGAAACTGACACAAGTTTCTCTTTGATGGCAGTGAGAATCAATTCGAAAAATTCCCTCCTAGGTCCGCCATAATCTTCGGCGTTCTCCCCATGGAAGTTTACTTCCAATGGATATCTGAGGTTTTCAAGATGCTGCAACTCCTCAATGGCATCCTGGAATATGTCACCGCGACTAACAAAAATAGAGCAGGTCTCTCCTTCGATGACCACCGACTCGTGGGATATATCCAGTGGCCGTCCCCTCATGTAGATGGACTGATATTCTTTAAGAATTTCCACTGGATCAGAGGACTGTGTTCTGGGAAAAAAATATATCAACTGTATGCGAGTGCATGGATGTTCGGAATGAAGCATTCATTGTAACGTAAATTAATACATGTAACTTTTAATTCAAACATACAAAACATGTGATATTAAAGCAATTATTTTAAATGCATACCCATATCTTGTTTACTTTTAATTGTTTTCTTAAAGTATTGAAAGTAATAATGTCAGTTACCGTTCACGGTAGCTCAGTCGATAGAGCGCTCGCTCCGTGATCGGGAGGTCGTGAGTTCGAATCTCGGCCGCGACAGACCTAAGTCGATAAAAAATAGGTAGCAACTGTTTGTTAATATATATTTTTATATTGTGTTAATACACTTAAAGAGATAACTCTTGGTGGGGAACTCTTCTTTGTGTAGAGATTGTTTTTTTGTGAGGTGGTTGTTTATGTGACTGAGGTCAAATGATGATAATAAAGTGCTTTGTGGATTCAGTCAGTGTTACTCCAAAAATAGAGATTAACAAGTGGTAGCAGAGCGTAAAATCAACCCCCGTGTCGAGTGAAAGGCAGTGAACTGTGTCAGAAGAAGTATAAACAGGGTGAGTCTGGGAAAAAAAAGGAGGGAAACAGTGAATCAAATATGGCGACCAAGATCAATCCACCAGTGTTCAAATCCAAATCTAAGCCTTATGAACTATAGAGACATGAGTTATTGGCTTGGAGTGAAATAACAGAACTTGCAAAAGAGAAAGGCATTGCTGTTGCACTTACACTTCCAGAGGAAGATGACAGTAAGATTCGTGAGAAAGTTTTTGACCAAATTAAGCTTGAAGATTTAAAAAAGGAAACGGGTTTTAAAACCCTTCTTGACTTTCTTGATAAACACCTTGCTAAAGATGACCTAGCAGACAGTTTGGAAAAGTTCAAGGAATTTGAGGACCTTAATAGAAGTGAAGGACAATCAATGAATGAGTTCATAGCAATATTTGACAGTAAGTACAGAAAAATTGAGAAAAAGAAAATGACACTTCCTTCAGAAATATTAGCTTTTAAACTCTTGAGAAAAGCAAACATCACAAAAGAGCAAAAAATGTTAGTTTTGACTGGAATGAATTATGAAAATAAGGCCACATTATATGAAGAAGCAAAGAAGTCGTTAAAAAAGTTCATGGGTGAAGGAGGACATACACAGTGTGACAACAAGAGTATAAAACTAGAACCAGCATTTTTAGCAGAAAATGAAGATGTATTATTGGCTGCGGGCTATGTACGAAGAGGTGGCAATTATGGATATCGGCGAGGTGGGCGCTTTAACTACAGTAGGGGTGGTGGCAGAGGTTCAGGATTTTTCTCATCACAGCGTGGGACTAAAAATCTCAACCTACAAGGTGCAGATGGAAAAATTATGACATGCAGATCTTGTGGATCATTCAGGCATCTCGTGACAAAATGTCCAGACAGTTGGGAAAACATATCTAAAGTACACATAACAGAGGAAGAGTCGTTAACAGAGCATGCAGTTTTGTTTACAGGATACCATAAAAATGAAATCAGCCAACTTGGGACAGAAGCACGAAACTGTGCAGTACTTGATAGTGCATGCAGCAGCACTGTATGTGGTAAAAACATGGCTACAAAGTTACCTTAGCTCACTGAAGGAAAGTGATCGTGGGAAAGTCTTGAGACGCGAGGGGCATAGTTTTCAAATTTGGTGGTGGAACAAGATTGAAATCTGAAGGAGAATATGAATTACCAGTCAGTATGGTTGGTAAACCTGTTACAGTCAAAAGAGATGTGGTTGAATCTGACATCCCTTTACTGCTTTCCAGAACCGCAATGAAAAAAGCAGGGGTAAAACTGGATTTGGAGAAGGATACTGCTGTCATTATGGGACAAGATGTGGCACTTAATTTAACTACATCTGGCCATTATTGTATACCAATTGACAAATCAGAGACTGTACCTATAGAAGAGGTGAACTCAGTTCAGCTTGAAGAATTGGAGCCTGAAAAACTCAAGTCTGCTCTTTTGGAACTTCATCGGCAGTTTGCACACCCCCCGAAAAAGAGACTTGTGGCTATGTTACAAGATGCAGGAGTATGGAAGGAAGAGTTTGAGGAACACCTGTTGGAAATAGAACAAAAATGTGACCTTTGTAAAGCATACGCAAAGACGCCACCAAGACCGGTAGTAGCAATGCCAATGGCAAAGGAGTTCAATGAGAAAGTTGCGATGGACCTCAAACAGTATAAGGGTCGCTGGATATTACACATGATAGACATGTGATCTAGATATACAGTCTCTGTCTTCATACAGCGAAAGAAGCCAAAAGATGTAATTGATGCTATGATGAAAAACTGGGTTGGAGTTTTTGGAGTAATGGGAGCCTTGATGACAGACAATGGTGGAGAATTTAGTTCAGATGAAATGCGAGAAATAGCATCTATTCTCAACATTCGTTTATGCACAACAGCAGGAATAAGCCCTTTTCAAAATGAACTTTGTGAACGTGTTCATGCTGCAACAGATATGATGCTGCTCAAACTTGAAGCTGAAAACAAAGCTGTTAATATTGAAACACTTCTTGCATGGGCAAATATGGCAAGAAACTCATTACAGATGTGGAATGGTTTTAGCAGCCATCAGTTAATATTTGGACAGAATCCAAATTTGCCAAACATCATGAAAGCAGATTTGCCTGCCCTGGAAGGAAGTACAAGTTCTGAGACACTGGCTTGGCATTTGAACACCCTGCATGAAGCAAGACGTGCCTTTATTCAAAGTGAAGCAGATGAAAGAATACGAAGAGCACTGCGTTACAAAGTTAGAGCAGCAGAAGTAACGTACGACAATGGTGATTTGGTATTTTACAAAAGAGAGGGTCGAGAGCGCTGGTTAGGACCTGGAAAGGTGGTATTTCAAGACGGAAAAGTTGTGTTTGTGAGGCATGGGGGTGTCTTTGTGAGAGTATCCCCTAACAGACTGTGCAAAATTACACAAGATCAGACAGAAATGAATCTGAGTGAAGACAGTTTAGAGAAACCGATGGAAAATAAAAACAGTGAGGATGTTGCTATGAGAACAAAGACTGTCTTTCCAAGTACTGTTTCAGAAACACTTAGTCAGGCACCAGAGCAACTTAACCAGGAAGTAGCTATAGATCCACGACCTGACCAGAGACAGCGACCAAAGAAACATGACAGGATCAAGTACAAGTTACCAAACTCAGAGGAATGGACTGAGGCAACAGTACTGGGAAGAGCCGGAAAAGCGACAGGAAGGTACCCTTCTTGGTATAATGTTAGAAAAAGTGTTGAAAATGAAGATAAAAGTCTTGATCTAGAAATTGTGGAGTGGAAAACTGTCAACCCAGAAGAAGCAAACTTAGCCCACTTCGACCCATACAGTGAAGCGTCTCATGGTACCAGTGATATGTTTATTGAAAATGCCAAACAAACAGAACTAGACAAACTGCGTCATTTCAACACATATGATGAAGTAGAGGACCATGGACAGAATACAATATCAACCAGATGGGTAATAACTGGCAAAGACAGTAATACAAGAGCTAGGTTAGTTGCACGAGGGTTTGAGGAACATTCTTTTATTCCTTCAGATAGTCCAACAATAGGTAAAGGGGCTATCAGGACATTTCTCACTGTGGCAGCTAGCAAAAGATGGATAGTAAAAACTACAGACATAAAGTCTGCATTTCTGCAAGGGAATACAATACAAAGGGAAGTGTTCATTAAACCTCTCTATGAAAGTAACACACCAGTTGGTTTTATATGGAAGCTAAAGCATGGACTATACGGCTTAAAAGATGGTGCTCGTCAGTTTTACATGAGTGTGCGAGATGAGCTGCTTAAACTAGGATGCAGTCAATCAAAAATGGACCCTGCTATGTTCACTAAAGAAAATGGAAAAATTCTGATAGGGATGGTATGCTGTCATGTTGATGATTTTCTACATGCCGGAGAACGGGAATTTGAGGAATTGTTGTGTAAACTAAAACAGATTTCTAGCGGGTAAAGTTGAGGAACAAGATTTTCATTACATTGGATTCCACATAAAACAGAATGAAAATGGTATTACTGCAGATCACTCAAAGTTTATGGAGAAATTGGATCACCCCCACCTTGATCCTAAAAGAGCAATGCAGAAACATGAACAACTTACTATGGAAGAACAAACTTTATATCATAAATTAATCGGACAACTCAATTGGGCAGTGCAAGGTTCACGACCAGATTTAGCATTTGAATTAGTTGATCTAAGTACAAAATTGAAAACTGCAACAGTGGCAGACATACTAAGAGCTATAAAAGCTATTGGGAAACTGAAGGACATAATACCAATCCAGATTTTCCCTTCTCTACATGGGTCAGCTGAAAAAGACTGGGAGATTTTTGTTTTCTTGGATGCAGCGCTGGCAAATATAAACGAGGGGAAAGGAAGTACTGGAGGTCAAATTTTGTGGTTCAAAGACCGCGTTGGAAATTGTTGTCCTATTCATTGGCAGGCCAACAAAATAAAGAGAGTTGTTCGTTCAACAATTGCGGCAGAAGCTTTAAGTTTGCAAGAGGGCCTTGAGTCTGCATTGTATTACAGGAAAATGCTAGAGGAGATCTGTACATTGGAAGCAGATAAAATACCAATTACAGCATTCATTGACAACAAACGTGTTTTCGCGGCATTACAGTCTACAAGAATGGTGGGTGACAAGCGCCTTCGAATTGACATAGCAGCAATTAGTGAAATAAAGAATAACAGTAATGTACACGTGAAATGGTGTCCAGGAAAAGTGCAGCTAGCCAATTGTATGACCAAGCGTGGAGCAAATGGAATGGAGCTGCTTAAA